ATTGTAGACCATACTAGGACAAATGAATTGAATTTACCTGGGTTTTGAAACTTACAGAGGCCTGAAGTTGAACAAAAAATGGTTTGGATGTTTAGGAAAAGGAATGTGACGTCGAAGTGCGCATAATTGTTTTTCGAAAATACTGTTCCTCCAGTGTAATTTATCATCATGTAGCAGCCTTTAGCTCCAAAAGCACTGAATACGAGACAAGTTAGTGGTCGTTCGTTTCATGTTCGATTTGGATGACACTTCAAGTACACTCCTTTTGAAGGCAGTTTACTCTTGTGCCTTCACAGTTGTCATCGGAAATTTCCGCTTTCTATAGGAGGTCGGCTGAATTTAGATTTAGTCTCTGGGTAGTGTTATTCTGCATGAGGAGTAAAAAGAGCACTAACAGAGCTCCGTTCTAGCGGTTATTTTTAGCTCTCTTAATTTTCCACTCGTACTAGTTCTGTTAAGGGTAAATTCTGTAGCTGTTGTAGCTGAGCAAATTTTTTCCAAATAAACTCTGATCCATTCGTTTTATTTGAATGTAGGAAATTTTTTGTGACCCTTTTGCTGCACTTTCTGAAGAGCGAGCAAGCTGGTTTTCGAAGTAATTACAGCGCATCCGATCGCTTTTTTCGCCGCAGACCTGCTCCTACAGCAAATTTTCAATGTTCTCTTTGTCGCTGTTTCGCCGATTACAAGAAAGCATTTAAGAGAATTGAGCTGAATGCGTAATTGCAACTGTTTTAGAGGGAGGGTCTGGTGGAAACTATGTGCAAAACGAGTACGGCGTGCGTTGTTCCGCAGTCCGTTAGCAGGAGGCATAGACAGGACTACTCCCGATCGCTCTGACTTTTCACGGCTTGTCTTGAAATGACATTACGAGATGAGTGCTGTTCTATTTAAAAGGCGATCTGAATTTCAGTAGCAAACACTTGAGCCATTTGCTTGCCGAGGGTGACGCTGTTCTCATCGAAAATGCACGCTCGGTGTCATATTCAGGGAGGCGGTTAATTTAGCCAGGAAAAAGATGTACGTGAAGAACAATGTCCAGCCGGAGATTGCACGACGATGGGCAATTTCTGGCGTACATTTCATAATATCAACATTGTCCATTTTCGAAATGTACCAGCTAGTTAATAAAAATATTTTATTAAAAACAATAATGTGCATATGCGAAATGTGGCCAATGACGAAAGTAAAAGAGCGGACGCCAGTAGCGCGAATTGCAATTGAGCTAAAGATGCGTGGGGTTCCCTGTGACGACGTAGACCATATGCTCTCACTGATTATTTGGCTTGCCTCACTTTTTTGAGAAAAAGAAAATAGTCAGTAGCTTGTTGGAAATGGACCTTCCTTAGGTGGACAGACAGCATATTGCACTGACCAATGCGCCTTTTTCTGTCTGTGTCACTTCCGACATTCAACAGCATAGTGAAGGCGCTTGCTATCATAACTAGCATCATTTGATTCTCACGTAAAGGCTCACACATGACTGCAACGCTTGACGCTGTTTGCAACAGCAAAACCAGCTTTGCTTTGAATCCTTCATTTTTTCGAGTAACCGAGAAAATGAAAGTGTTATCTTCAAAACTGATATGCACACCGGATTCGCAAATCATCTTCACAAGGAACTTGGAGAAATTCCTAAAAAATATGAAAAGCTGAACTAAACTAGGAATAATTAGTGCGAAACAGGGGGATGTGTAATATGAGCGTTCTCTGAGTCAAGAGGGAGGATGGTCTCCGCTGCTGTTCCCCTCGGGAATGTGGAAGCCCACCGGGAGGATGAAAAACTGCAATAAATCGAATCGAAAAGATGGCCATATGGGAGCTGAAACAAATTTCTCGGACTTTTTGGTTGGAAACAGATAATGATGGAGCCGGAGACTTACGCATTTTTTCGGATGCACAAAGCTGTACAAAATGAAATCGTTTTCAAGAAACATCCTGAGCGCTGTCGAACTTGACAAGCGACAAGCAGCGCGTCCCGAAATGAAGTTAGCTAAGTCCTCATAGATGGATGAAGGTTTAAAGTATGTGTTTTTCTGGATTACGACAACTCTTACCATAATTTTAAGTGGTACAAATTCAAAACATTTATAGCATCCATCTAATTCAAGCGTTGATTGGTTCTGTCTAGCATGTTCCAGTCGATTTAATGTCCTTCATGCGACTTCAGCTTTCTTTGGCTCAAGTTTGCATTTTTTTAGCAAAATCTGACGTCGTTTTGTTTGGTTTTCACACTGTGCATTCGCTGGTTTTTGCCGCATTAGCCAAACTTCATGCTTCTAGCCGGTGAAGATGTTTATCAGAATTCCGAATTTAAAACTGTGTCTGCTTTCAACCAAATCCTCTTTGCTTTTATTGTAGCTGCTGTGGATTAATTATGTGGACATTTTTGGACTGATCCTAGGCATATTTCTGGATTTTAGTTCCTTGAGTCATTTGTGGGCGTACGCTTAGTCTTCGTCTATTCCCTTTTTGCCTTACAAATTGCTGGAGCAGCAGATATTTCCTGATCCCTTTCTGGCATTAGCTGTTCGTTGAAGCACCTGTTGTCTGCAAAGTCTTCAGTGGTTTGCCAGGCCGAATAGAGCCCACTTCGGAGGAAGTGTTTTTCTGGCTAATGTGTATTGGTCTTGCTATTTATAAACTGCCCACTGCGCTCTGTTATGCTCGAATAAGCATTGCACATCGATTGTTCCGGTCCCCACTGTTTTCTTCTGGCTTCAAGGACTACTTCCAGTTGCTGGAATCCAGAATGAATTGCCCTTATCATCACCAAGCTGCAGTTCCGTCCTGGCAGTATCTTTGTGATTCAGGAAGTGCATCGGACTGAATCGGTTAGCCTCTGTGCGCGATATTCGGCCGACTTTCCTTTCACAAAACCAGCAAGTAATGTGCACGGGGCTTTTCGTAGGCGCTGCGCTGCACCTCTGTTATCGATCTTCACATTAATGAAGTAGAAAATTCTGGGCTCTCCTATTTGTGAAATTTTAAATTAAGTAGATGGAAGATTAGTTAAAACAACAAAAATCAGCTATTTTAAATGTCGACCAGTAGCACAGCACTGACTGGCAAGACTAGGCCTTATTCAGTCTAATGTATGTGTGTGTATTGCGTATGTGTTGCCTGTATCTATCAATGTTCATGTTGCTCTCACTAGGCTTCGAAATCGATCCCATTTTCTAGCTTAAACAGCCAACGAAGAAATTCATTCTATTCATTCTTTGCTTCAGTGCCTTTTATATGCGTTCTTGCGTACTTATGCAAAAGCAATAATGAATATTGGCAAGAAGTGCTCTTTGTTTTCGCATGTATGTGTGTGTGTTTTCGCTTTTTTCACCCACTTTCAACTCAGCAACCAGAGAAGCTAGGAAGCTGAAACTTTTGGAGCATGTTTCCACCCTGTAAAGTTATCGCTGAGGTATGCTTGAATCTCGCGCACGGGCGCTTTAAAGAAAAATTAAATTTTCAGGTAGGAAAACGATTTTCGGAACCAGGCAAGGGAGCTGAAGTTTCACGTAGATGCACATTTGGCTTAAAAATTTCATTTTCAGCTATCACGTTTGCCTGCGTCACACGTACTGACATGTCAAACTTGAAATCGGAACAACTTTGACAAAATGCCTATTTGGAGAACAAGCTAATAAGGGATCCTTAATTTTACAAGGATATTTGTTTTCTCCATGTTTTCTCCATATTTTACAAGATATTTGTTTTCTCCATATGTAGGGATGAAATGATCTGTGGTGTATATCTGCGTCGCGCGTTCGAATACGTCAAAGATATTTGTAACAAAAAGCGATTTCGCCAACTAATCCCACTAGAAAGCTGAATTCTTACGAGCATATGCCATGTCAGTGAGCGACCCAAATATTTCAAATTCAGCTTTAAACCGCGCGTAGGATTCACATGCCCCCCGAGTGGATGTTTAGTTTTGAATACTATTGGCGCTCGATTAACTCGGTAACGAGACTGGAAACACCATTTTTCTCAGGATATTTACTGTTTACGCAAAATAGGCTTTTACCTACGTATGTTCCCTGCGTGCAGACATATCAAATGTTCAGATTGCAACGCTGCCGTCCTCCTGCTCTCCATATTCAGGCAGGCAAGAAAGCTGAAATTTTGTGAGAGATCTGCCTGGTTCTGTTGGGCACAAAAGGCGTGAAAACAATTTTCACGCACGTTAACATTTGGCATAGAAATTTGGCAAATTTCAAGTTGCAAGAAACGCATGACCCACTCCGGAAATCTTGGTTGGAAAACACTGTTCAAATCAGTCTTCAGAATCATGGCATTTTTCATCACTTATCTTCCAGTCGAATGTAATCCTTGGCCTGAAGCGATTTAAATGTAGGCTGGAATGGTACTTTTATGAATACTCACGCATATTTGCTGTAATAGTGTTCTGATTCTTCCGCTATATGTCTGGCAACTTTTTCAATTCCTTTGATCAATGCTACATCACTGGGTGTTCAGTTCCTCGGTGATTTTGTCGTTCGTTGTATCTTCTAAACACATTACCAGTCCAGTCGTTTTCCCAAAAGAAGCACTTGGCAAGACTTTAGCCATTTTGAGACTTCCTTGGTATGTGTTAAGCTCCCGTTGCCACTTCTAGATCACGATGAGACAAACCAGCGACTAGGAAGATTGTAAGTATGCACATCATCTGAAAAAATAAAATCATTTCAATGTTATCTTTGCTAACAGAGCAATGATTCACAAAGTGTTTCTCTCAGGCTTTTTCGCTTGAAGTTGATGTTAACAAATCGTGCTGTTGATTTGTTGGGCTTCCCAGAGCAGAGCATTTTCTGGACAGTCTCACTGCAGCACTTCGTTTCTTCGCGCTTTCTGTCAAGCCCAGATCCAACCAATGTGCCAGTGTAACATGAGATGTCGTAATTTTGCCGTCATTTTTAGATGTTGGGCTACGTCATTTTTTCTTCCTTTTTGGAAGCGATCTTGAATCGTTGCCTGCACTAGACTGTGCTTGAAATTGATGAATGTCGCGGTTTCCTATCCATTCCACGTTTGCCGTTGAGAATACGATCTCTTTCAATCATTTTTGTTTCGGGCACTCACCATGTCCAGTCTGTCCACAACCGCTTGCTGAAAAATTTATCAATTTGGGCCTGGTTGATGTTAGCCAGCCTCTGTCAGTTTTATGTGTTTGCTACCAAGCCCAGAGTGGCTAATAAATCCTCTCCATTTTTTTCACTTTCGTAATCCGACGTTGAAATCCCCAAGGACTACCGTGTACGTTAACTCCGTTGCTCAACTGCCTCATAAAAAAGTTTGACGTCTTCTGCTGTGAAATTGGTTGCGCAATTTGTAATAATTATATCGTTGTCCGCTGGCGAACGATTCTGACAGCAGGTACGCCTAGATGTATTGATGGCATCTCACATGTTAAAATTCTCTTTACCAATAAAGCCTGCGCCATCGTTATGTCCTTCTTTGCCAAATACAACTTTTGAACCATCGTTTCACACAGACACATACGCGGCGAGATACGCGGCTAGTTTTACGCATAGCCAGGATATCTATTCTGATTTTGCGCACCTCTCATGCAGCAATAGATACACTGCTTGATCGTTGCCCGATTTTCCCGTGCTGAAATTTTCCATGTTAATAAAACGCTGTGACGGTCTCAATGTTGCGAACTTCTCAGATTTGAATTAGTCGCAAAAAACAAGTTTCAGAAAGTGCAGAACACTGAGATAGTTTGCTAGGGCATTTTTCTTACTAGAAATTGGCTCCGCAATTTTGTGATTTAATGTGTTTTTCTGACTTTTTTTTCTATTTTCAGTATATCGCGACTTGGAGCGAACATAATTTTCTAATTTCACTTTTTTTTTAAGAAATACATAAGATACAGTTCTGCACTACAATATTTGTTTGGGAAAAGCGAGCTGGCTAACACCAGGCGTGGTCCACCAGTAACATTTTCGTACACGGCACGAATTCCGGATGCCATTGGTTTTTGCATACGTACTGCCGGGAAAATGACTGATATTGCCAAGGAGGCTGCAAAAATGAATGGGCATGATTATAACAACCACGAGCAACAGCAACATTCACGTTTTGCTGGCTCACCAGCGAGCGATTTCGAGTTTCGTCCGTCGTCTAAGGAAAACGGGAAAAGCTTAAAAGCTAACAGAAGTAAATCGCCTGGTGCATTCATTGAACGGCTTTCAAGCTTTGCGCGAGGAAAATACCGAAGCAGCTTATCCGAACGACCATCCCAGTCCCGAAACTTTGAGGAGCGTCCACGAAGGGTTCGCTTTTTTTTCAATTTTTGAATTTCTTCAAACTTCTGAGGAAGTACTCGATAAATTAGGTAAAAAAGCGAGTTCGGTTAGCAGTGTGTGTAGTTTCCCATACGAATAGTGCATCCTCATTTTTTGCCGTCTTTTTGCATAAATTTTGCTTTCTTGTGAAATTTAGCATTTATTTATTCCCTTTTAAACCAAGTTTAACATTTGTTTGCAATTTGTAGTGTTATTTCTGCCGATTTTTTTAAACCTTAATCTTGTGCTACTGCCTTCTCTCTCTTCCACTCCCACCACTGAATTTTATACCAGACGACTGGATTTTTCCGTTTTTGGCAAATTTTTCTTAGGACAAATGAGAGTTACAATTCCTTTCCTTCTGCCTTGCGTATCTTAGTAAATTAAATTTTTCTAAAAATTCCCTACCGTTATTATACTCTTATTTTGCAAAGTAGTGTTTATCCACTCACTCCACCAAATTTTCGGATACTTTTTCTAGGCTCAGACTAAATTCCGCCAGGCAAGAGCCTGTCACATCACATATCTTTACATCCGGTTTCTTGCATCTCCAGAAAGTTTTTTACTTTCTTTTAACTCTTCGTATGCGTTCACATCATGTCGTTGTTCAGAATTATTATCATTATCGTTATCATCGTTTCAGCTTTATGCACAAAAAATTTCATTTACACAACACGATCACACATGATAACATTTGCATCACGAAAAGCTTGTTTACATTTGAGGGCACGTAATTCCGGGGTGGTACCGGTGGCTAAGAGCTGGATGCCCGCACGCGTTCATATCTTTTTCTGATCGCATATCCCGTCGAGTCAAGAGCTGCTTCGACTTATGGCTGCCCAGTTTACAGTATAGTTGCCGAAACCTGGTCACTATTTTCCATACGCTTCTTGAGGTTATTTCGGTCACATCTCGCACAGCTTATTTGCTTTCGTGATAAATTTTAGGTTAACAATACAGATATTGCTTTTCGTGATTTCTTGGAAGCATCAAACAGAATAATTGACATTTTCTCTATCTTCAGTGAAAACTTAAAGCGGAAGTTGAAAATAAATTAAAATTTTTTTTAGCATCTCGGAGAAAATCTCTGTCAGATTTTGTAGTTCTGGATGTGTTATGTTCTTGTGACGTCTCCATTTTCAAAACCACAAGATTTCGATTATTCTGGCGAGACTGTAGTGAGAAAATCTAATAGATTATAGGAGTCAAGAGTTATTACACGCTACCAACGAGACACTCGAAAAATGAAAGCTCGCATCTTGTTATTAGGTAATATTATGTCAACCAACTAACACATATTTTTTGAGCTCAAGACGCTAGCTTTCACTAAATTCATCTTTTTTTTCCTGAAAAAAATTCCAGCAACTGTTGATGCTAGACCCATTTTACTCCTTTTTATCAACAAATTTACTAATGTTTATGTTTCTTGCAATCAACTACATTGCAGGATTTGCAGAGAGACTTGCAAAAGTGCCGTGACAATGCAGAAACAAGGCTCGATTTGAGTTCTTCGGATGTAAGCGTTTGTGCTTCTTGCATTTTTGCAGCGCTCATAATATTTCAAGCTGAGCAGCTTCTTTACAATTGTCTGGTGCCCACTCGTGGTAGATTCTGTTATGTACATTTTCAGTTAACACGTTCACAGGGAAGCAGTGTTTCAATTATCATTATTATTACTATTATTGTCGTCATTATTATTAGTACTGTTATTATTATTGTTATTATTATTGTTATTATTGTTATTATTATTATTGTTATCATTATTATTATTATTAGTTATTACTACGACGCTGTGGTACGAAAACCTAACCTACCTTTAAGTTTATTTGAAATGTATCAGATATCGAAATTGATGACTTTTGTCGTTTGGCATGGATGCAGTTCTAACCTCTGCTGCTGTGGAAATGAGTGATGATCAAACCTGCTTTCTGGCGTTCTTTTTGTAATTCAGGAGGTGCACCGCGTAAATAACAAGCAGTTCGTTCCATTTCAGATTGTCAGCATTCCATCGTCAATTCGCGATTTGGTGCAACTTACAGAGCTTTTCCTATACAAAAACAAATTAACTGTGCTACCCAATGAAATTGGAAATTTAGTGAATTTGAAGAAATTAGGTCTCAGCGAGAACGGTCTCACATCACTACCGGACAGCCTTTCTGCGTTGACTCAACTCGAAACACTCGACTTACGTCATAACAAACTCTGCGAGGTCCGTCTGCTTTATGCATTCTTTTGCTTTAAATCACTGCTATCATTATTGTTATTATCGTTATTATTATCATTTTTATTAATTACCGGTGCATCTTTATTGATGTCTATTACACTTAGTAACCAGTGGAAATGATTATGTAAGCTTCTGATGATAGTGAGCCTTTGGACATTGTTTCCTGGCACAATACTGTGTGTCAGATGCTTCTGCAGAAAGATTTTAGTAAAAAATAAAATTTTCTCTAGCTCTCATAACCGTAGTGCGGTGGTGTAAACGCATCTTTAGTTCTACCAGTTACCGCTGAACTGAGATTTATCCCGAATGAGAACGAAGAGGAAATGTCGGGATCGCAACTACGTGAAAAATTGAGATGAGCTAAAAAGAAGTAATATATGTTTGTATTATTTCAAGTGTCATTCAAAGAAGAGCCACATGCAGTACAATCAGTTTCTTCAGTTCAGTCCTATTCACTAGAATGTGTGAAGCCTGATCAATGCACATTTGTAAACTTTCGAGGTGATGCGGCTGCAGAGCAAAGAACGAAAATTTTTCACTGCTCGCTGAGTGCAGTAAATAAATCGAGGAATCGCAATAACGACTAAAATTATAAGCAGTCAGATGCAAAAATGAAAAAAAAAGAGGAAAAAACAATATGGAATAGCTTATAAATAGCGACGTGCGCTAAGAGCTTGCTTGAATACGCTTTTTTATGATGAGCCGTTGCGAGCCCGTAGTAAATGAATGCAACAGAGCCGATTTTGCCTTCAGACAATAATTTTTTGGTGAATTTGCAGGTTGAAATGCACCGAAGTTTCAGATTCATGTTGTGCTTCGTTCTGAAATCATAAACTTGGCTTGTATAGAGAAGTTAGAAATTCGTTTATGGCTATTTTGTTCTTACACTGCTGCAAAAAAAATCTCAAAAATTCGATTCTTTGGCAGGCCCTACGTTAAAATTTTGAAATTACTTTGACTTACGCATGAAGTCTCTGAACGGGAAGCAAAAGGTGCCTACCGGTTACTTGTGCTGCTTTCGATTACAAATCCGAGTTTTGAGTTACTAGCTCCTCTCACTGAATTTAGTCGGATACAGCACTGACGCAAATTTTTGTTGGGTGAAAGGAAGCTACCGCACTGTCAAATCCCTGAAGATTTAGAAATTCGTAAATATTGCCGTCTTGCATCACAACAAGGTGAGCGAATCAAATTTCGCTGGTCATGAATTTTTAACTTTTGCTAAATATTTTCAGAAAAAGCCCATACAGGTGAGAACCTGATATGAAATTTTTGTAATAGCGTCATTTTTCAGCTACCGTCTGTAATCTATCAGATCAGCTCGCTGGAAACATTATGGCTGCGGTACAATCGCATTGTATCAGTTGGTAATGAGATTGGTCGTCTCAAACGACTGAAAATGATTGATTTGCGGGAAAACAAAATACGCGAACTGCCATCAACGATCGGACAAATTAAATCGCTTGTTGTGTGCTTGCTCAGTTATAATCATCTGAAGGCTATCCCCGAAGGTTATCATCTGTTCACAAATTATCACTTAGATGCGTTACAGCTGGAATCTCGCCAGTTAATGAAGGCTGATGAACTTTAGAAGAAAAAAAAAAAAAAAAAAAACGCGAAACGCTGAAAATTAGCAGCCATAGATATTATCGATTAAATCCTACATAAAATGTGAATTCCTCCTTTTTTATTTTACACAGCAGATAATTATTTTATTTAGTACCCCAAATTTTTATGCAATGCTCTTTTAGTTCATAGTTCCCTTTGTCCTTGATTTGTAGCTAAAAATTGGACTTGAAAAAATTGTGGATACATTTGTACTAATCGGTGTAATTTTTCAGAGCTTTTAGTTATGTTACACATCACTTTTAAAACACTTTTTTTTAATGCCCTCGAAAGAAAACCTTGCCATTCTCCATTTTTGCAGTTCCTTATTTTCTGCTTGCAAAAAGTCTATTATTATTATTGTTGCCATTATTACTATTGTTGTTTTTATTGTTATTATTATTGCTATTAACGTACGTCATTGAGCTGGTCCGATGTAATTTTACAAGGCTAATTCTCTAATTCCTCAAAAAACAGCTATCTAACTTCTCTTGGAACGTGTTCCATTGAGCGAATTATACACTTTTATAAGAACTTTCCTCATTTCATTAATTTAACTTCTAAATGGTCCTAATGGCTCGTCCCGCTACGATTATTTTAAAGCTCGCCCTTGGCATCAAATTTGTCCTGCTAACTAAAAAACCTTTCTGCTGTTACCACACCCGTCTGAAACAAATTTTTAATGCATCCCGAGAGATTTCCGATGTGCACGCTTTGTTGCCTGAATTTAGATTACATTTTTTCCTGTTTATATAAATAAAAAATTCTAAAATCTTAACTCGTGAATTATTTCCTAATTTACCGTGATCATGCATATATCAGGAACACAGAGAAGATCTTGCATGCTTTGAATCAAAGAAATTGAATCCATTTGCGGTTTTTTAATACACACCCCACAGCGTGGGATGAATGAGCTAAAATCATCCTTTGAGCTGCCTTAAAATTTTAATGGTTGGAGCCTTTATAATCTTACTGTATTTCCAAATTTAAATTCCAGCTAATATTACAACTAACAGAGCAGTTCAAAAAACTCTCAGCCAAAATTTCGACGATTTGATTTATAGCATATTTTGTTTTTCAAATTGATGGAAATTTGTCATGGCGCAGTCTTCGTTTGGGCACATAAATACGGGCATATTTGTGCAGGTACTTGGGAAGCCTTAATAATAAAGTTTCGGGATCTGAATACCCCGCAAATTGAGACATTCAGATCCCGGAACTTTATTGTTAAGGCTTTTCCAATTCCAGTTTTAAGGATAGCGATTTCAAAAATCAGTTTTCGAATTTCTTCGTGTTTCTTTTCTGATCTGGATTTAGGCAAATGTTTCAAATTGAGAGGAAAAAACTGTATTTTCTAGTTATTTGGGCCCTATCGGTTGAGAGCAGGTATGAATTCCTCGAAAATGAGACAAAGCTTTTCAGTTTTTGTCGAGAAACGCATTTTTCTTTTGTTTGCTTAAGCAACTCCTCGAATGACTTACAGAGATTGGTAATTGCTCAGAGCTCACCCAGCTGGACCTTCAGCATAATTATCTCGTATCGCTGCCACAGTCGATGGGCAATTTGCAAAATCTTGTTCGCTTGGGCATACGCTACAATAAATTACGACATTTGCCACCCGGACTGGCATTTTGTCATAAGCTGGAGGAATTCATTGTGGAAAGCAACCAACTTGAGGCGTTACCGGTATCTCCATTTGCATTATAACCGGAGCACGGTCACGGATTATTCCATTTTCTTTTTGTCTTTCTTAACCCAGAACGGAGTGGGGTGGAGAGTTGCTTTCGGATTTTGAAGAATACCGGAAGCAGATTCCTTGGTGATACCAAAAACCTGCTGGTATTTGCAAAATTGGACTGCGTAGTCGATTTTTTTTTTGCGATTTTGCTAAATTAGATTAAGTGAATAAGGGCGTCTTATGACAAGATCATCCCTGACACTGTTTCTCCAGACAGAGTTTAATCCAGAATCATGAAAGCAAGAGAAATTAAATTTTGAGAACACCGTCTGAACCACATGCGAGGAGGATGATCGCAAATTACACACATTTTCTTTTGTATCTTGGTTTACGCTTCTGGGTCTAAATTCAGGTATAATTTTGCATCTCGAAAACTAAACAAAGCTTATGTTTGAGCTAGAAGTTTTCCAATCTGCTCATTTTTTGGTAATAGCGATAACAATTTAAGCAACATAAAATAACTTCCTACTGCTGTTATCAACATTCAACTAGAATGTTGATTCAGGAAGGGATGCTCACTTCACTGCCCAATCTGAAGACGATTAACCTCAGTCGAAATGAATTGACAGCTTTTCCGTCGGGTGGACCCCAGCAGTTTGCATCGTCTGTGGTATGTTTTCAAAAAATTGTAAAATCGATATATTTTTAAGCGACATCTTTGTCGTTTTTTTTTCATTGCTGGAATACTCATAAAGTGGTTTATTTGAGGAAAGAGCTTAACAAAAAAGCATGAGGGAAAGGAATGGATAGATTTGAAGCACATTACAATTAATTTTAATGAAAAATTTGATATTTTCAGTCGATAAATTTGGAGCACAATGCAATAGCGAAGATTCCATTTGGGATATTTTCGAAAGCAACGGGCCTGACAAAACTTAATCTGAAAGAAAATGCTCTTACGTCGATGCCACTAGGTATGCTTCTCACTTAGCTGTGTAATACGGGAACTTCTACACCGATCGCATTTCAGCATCATGGCGCGCATTAGGCTTTTTTGAGACCCTTCACGACTCTCTGAGGCTCTGAAGTAATTGACCTGTGTGTTTGCACTGCATTGAAGGCTCTCCGTGAAAAGAATGCTACAAACAGATGTGGTGCAAGAACAGTGGCAAAATCACACACAACTTAAAATGTCAAAAAGCATAAAGTCACAGGTGAAATGGATCATACACCTGACTTTCTCCCTTTTCGGCTCCCCTTTTTCCCACTTTTTTCTCAAAGGCTGTTTAGCGTAATCTTTAGTTGTTCACTTAATCCGTATATCAGTAAAACGATCCTTCAAGCAACCTCCGAGCAACCCTACCTTGTTCTCTTTTAACGACTTTTACTTTAGCATGGCTGGACTGAATTCAGCCAGTGTTTTCTCTGAAATCTACGTTTTCTCTTCAGTTGGTTCCTGTTATGGTTCAAAAATTGTTCTAAGCAAAAAAGAGTTTTAGATATGGGAGGTTGGCTGGCCATGACGGAGTTGAACTTATCGACAAATCAGTTGCGCGTGCTGCCGGATGATATTGATAAGCTTGTCAATTTAGAAGTATGTTCACAAGCTTTTTTTTTAAATTCATTTTCCGAAAAAAATTGTTGTCGCTGTTGTAAGTGACTGCCCGTTGTGAGCAAAATTTGTGTTTGCAAAATTATTTTCCACTTACTCAAATTCGCATCTTAAAATTCCAGCTTCATGTTATGAAATTGGTTGCATCAGTTAGTTTCCTGCTGCAGGTGCTGGTTTTGAGCAACAATATGCTCAAAAAACTTCCATCTCAAATTGGCAGTTTGAAAAAGCTTCGAGAATTAGATTTGGAGGAAAACGAATTGGATGCAATACCAAATGAAATTGGTTAGTTTAGTCATCGAAATGACTAGTGTAGTCAAAAAACTAAATGAGTTTTCCTTCCGCAGAAGTTTTAGGATAATGAAATTCTGCTTTAACGAAACGACTGACGGTGGCACGCCTTAGATGCAGAGAAAAACTTGGCGGCTGTAATCCTCGGCCTTATGTAGTTGCATACCTGGTCTTCTTGATCGAAAGTGAAGCTAATGTGGGGTCCTTTGCCAGCACAGTCTTAGGCTTCCCTCGAGAGCTTTCCTTTTTTATGCGTTTTTTGCAGCTATGAATGCAGAAAACGCATATTGACGAGGGGTTGTCTGTGTGTCCGTATGTCACGCACTTTCATCTCAA